ACTAACATCATTATGACATTTTTTAACAACCTCAATTTACTGTAAGTCTGTATAAGTTATATTTGTGGTGTTTCTCATTTTTGAGCCAGCTACATTTCTTGTTATAGTGTCGTAATTTCCTGCTTTTTCTTTCTCATTTTGTTATGTGCACCCACTGATGCTTTTACAAATATGAACCTGTATTGACTATTATAAGTCCTTATTGTTATTAGATATGATTAAAGTGTAATAGAAATGGGGAAAGTAATTTAGGCAGGCCTTATTTGTTTCTGTTCACGTGTTGTTTGTGTATTAGTTGATTGTTATGGTAGCTGTTGTATTTTGAATTTTATGTCATTTAGCATATGAGATTAGCATTCTCCTTTTTGTCTTCTGAAATCTTATTTGAATGTCTTATTGATGTCATTACAGCTTCACCTTTGACATTCTTGAAGAATCACACTAGAAAGAAAAGGGTGAAAAACACACCTTGTCACTGAGTAGCACATCAGCTGCAACAACCGATTCACTTGGTCATATATCGTTCTTAGAAGGTTATTAGGCACTTGTGGTGCAATTGTGGAAGGTTTGTTCTGTCCCAAGCATTTAGACTATCTTTAGAGCTGGAGCCCTCTCTTGAAACAATGGATTTCACTCACTTTTTCAGTGGTAGCGTGATGCACTATCAATGGAGGTGTTGCCTGGCTCAAGTTCCTCTTACCAGAACCCACAAACAGTGACTACTGTATAAATAAGTTGTCCGCGTATCATTATAAAGCACACTTTCTTATTTACAAGAAAAAGTGTTTACACCAGAATTGACAATTTTTGTTATGATGCTACATGATGATGAAGATGACTTAAGAGGGCGCAGCAGAAGAAAAATTATAAATCTTTTTTTCTTTTAATTTACTTATGATTTTTATGAATTTATCTACCAATACGCTCGACTCATTAAGGCGTAACTCTAATCATTGACTTTGGAACCAAGCCTTGGAGTCTTAGTGTAGAACTCCAGAAATATATTTCTAACTCGAGGATTTGAAGAAAAGTAGAATTTTAACTCTTGAGAGGTGGAGGCATAATCTATTTCTATAATTAGACACGACAAAAAAATATATATTACTACAGTAAGTGGATTTATAAACTTCTCAAAAACATTATTGGTGCTTAAATTGCTTTTAGACTTTAAAAAATTATCAATAAATATTCAATGAAATTTTAAAAAATTCTCAATAAATATCCAATGGGAAAAAGCATAACAATATATAGGGATAGGAGGCAAGCAGGGATACAGTTTTAATCAAGTCTTGAATAAAAAAGCATAACAATGAAATAAGTGCAGCATGATGTTAAAATAAATTAGAAAATCGAAAGTGCTTTAAAGAAAGATGTAGAAAGATATAGTTTTAAACTTTTGATGTAAGAAATTAAGAGAAGTATAGTATGTGAATGTATAAAGATAGGGGATAAGAAGGAGATTGTACGGGAGTGAGAATAATATCAAACAATTTATTGATATAAAAAGAGAATAAATACAGATTATTGATAAACTTTTATAATTTATTAATATAATAACAAATTAAAAAATTATCTATATTTTTTAAAATTAAATTGATTCGGTTTGAATACTTAAATCATCTTTTTTATGTCTAGCATTTAAATTTTTTTATGAATTAATACATTTAAAATTATTAATTATCAAAAAATATTCTAAAATATATTTAAAAAAAAGTGCATATCAGTCTCGATTTC